ATCAGATCTTTTTGAATCTGGCATCTGGGAGACAGTCACCCCAAGGAGCAGAGCAGGAAGTTGGAGACTGAGGCAAGTAGGTGAGAGCTCCTTGCACCTGGCTAGTTCCCTGGTGCTTGATGACAAGGGTGGGTGGGAGTGCATCCCCTATTGCTCCTGGGGCCTTAGGTGCCATGATACTAGGCTGCTAAATTGTCATTTTCAAGGCTATCTTTTTATCATCCAGAATTAAGAGGACCTTGTGACTGTGGGGAGGAGAGGTACAGAATGGCTTCTCAGCCAAGAATGGGCAATGTGACCCTCAAGAAAACATTTGACTTTGAATTATAAACTGCTCACAAAGCACTGGACTTGGGAGAGATTAGTGCTTTCTCTGGCCACATGATTTCCCAGGCTCTATTCAGGAGCAGTTTTGCTTTCAGCCTTCTTCAGACCAGTGAGCCGACTTGAAGATCTGTGGGTCCCTTTCCTGAGCCCCACACTGTTCCAGCCTCTGCAGGTGTGTCCAATGCAAGCTAAATAGCCATGAACTGGGAGTTGGGAGCCCTGAGACCCATCACAGCCACTAACCAGTCTTCCCCATAAGTGACCTGGGACTAGCTGGTTCCATCTCTGGGCCTTAATTTCTTCTTTTACTTAGTGAAAGAGGGGCTGAACTAGAACTCTGAAGGAACATGCATTAGCGAGAGCAAAGAAAAGAAGATGAAGCATACTTTCCAGCCTCCTAGTTTCTTCTGTCTTCCTGAGGACCCCTTTCTTCCTCCTGCTCTGTCTCTGCCTCAAGCCAGCTCATTCTGAGTAGGGAAGATTCCCTGGGTGGGGCTTGGCTGGGCAGGTGTACCCTTAATGTTTGGAATATGATGCTGCCTCTACTTGTTTCAGGCATGAATTAACCCACCCAGTGCTGATACCTTGTTTTAGTAAGACTTTTATCAGTTCCTGCCAGAGGCAGCTCCTTGAACAGGCAGAATGAGGCCTGGGGAAGCGGAGGCTAAGACTGTACACACCCAGCAGCAGAGCAGTAGTGGCACGTGTCCCCATAACTTTCTGGATGTCAGAACCCTGGAGGTACAGTCATGCAGTACTTCAGAGTCTTTGGATGTCAGAACTGAGACAACCTCATAAATTTTCTAGTTCCCTCCTCTATGGATGAGTAGACTCAGGCCCAGTGCATCTTCAGAGCTTGCGTCAGATCACCCTGCCAATGAGCAGAGGAGCTAGGAACCAACCTAAGGTCACTTAAGCCCCAGGCTCAAGTATTTTCTTGAAGGTCAAATGAGCTACAAAGTAGTTCCAACTCTGCCTCACTGTGGAGTTCAAAGGGTAAAATTGAGATCATTGCATCCAGACATTTAATGCCTAGTAATTGACAGGATTTATGTTAAATGCTGAATTTGCAGGAATGGATAAAGATGGCAGCTCCTGCCCTCAGATTGATCTACCATGTAGATAGACTTGTAAATAACTAAATACACTAAATCCATCTGCTTGTGCAATGTGCAAAAGTTATGTGTGTATTTGCACACATGCATGTAGTCTAACCAGAAGTGAGGGAGCAGTCAATTGTCAAGGCTTTCAGGAAAGGCTCTGGAGAGAAAGTGTTAACATGTACTGTGCCTTTACCTAGTTGGCCTGGGTGGGGAGGGCATTCTGGATAACGGAAACAACACAAGCTGCAGTGCGGAGGCCTAACAAGACATGTTATAGTCATTGCACATTGAGTGACCAAGGAGGGTGCGGAAATGGCTGGGAGTGAGGCAAGAATGGTGGCCTGACGCTGAACTGTGAAGGGCCCTGGTGGTGGGTTGCAGAGTTTGTTGCCAGTGATAATCTGAAAGCAAGGGAAGGGTGTGATCAGGCTGGGAAGTGTAACAGTTGATCTGCCTACTGCATGGAGAATAAGCAGAAGAGGGCCTGGAGCCAGCCAACCTCAGATCTGTAGTTACTGAGGCCAGGTGCGAAGTAATAAGGGCTTCACTCTGGACAGCAGCAATGAAGGTGAGAAGAGGACGGGTAGTGAACCCACTGCATAAGATGGACAGAACTTCCTGACTGATTTTGTGTCAGTGACGAGGGAGAATGAAGAAGAAAATGCAATTCTCATTTTCTGGATTGCACAGTTGGCTCCATGATTGTGTCATTCACTGAGCTAGGGAAAAGGAACTCTGGAAGAGAAACTGACTTTAGTGGATGTCAGCTTTGGGTCACAGAGATAAACTATAGAACTCTCAAGTGGAAACTTCGAGTCCAGAGCAGCACTTGGAACATGGAAGTCAATCCCAAGGTGGTGGGTGAAGCACTGGCCATAGGTGAGGTCACTGAGGCACGGAGTGTGGGTTCTGAGGTGTCTCGAAGTGGCAAGAAAAGAAGGGAAGGCAGAGGGAGATGAAGAAGAGACAGTAGGTAAGTGGCCTCAGTGGTGTAGGGTGGAGGATGGGGCAAGGGAGCAGTCTGCCTAACTTGTACTGCTCACCGCACAACAGGCCAGTAAATTGGGAGACAGGGGGTCAGGGGAAAGAATAGCGATTTTATTCAGAAAGCCAATACACCAAGAAGACAGTGGACTGGTGTCCCAAAGAATCATGTTACCTGAGTTAGAATTCAGGCTGCTTTTATACTGAAAGGGAAGGGAACATGGCTGATTGTTGCAGGAATTCTTTGTTCTTGCAGCTGTCAGAGTAGGTCTGGTCAGAGTATTCCTATAAACCATCAACAAGACAATTGTTATTTTTAAAGATCAAAGCCTTGAGAATAGGCTTTCATGTATATTTCAGGCTCTAGGCAATGTTCTTTCACAAAGGTGCAGCTGACTAAGCACAGAGTACAAGGGTTAGAGCTAAAGAAATAGATCCAGCATGGAGTCGGCTTGTTTGTCTGTTACACAAGCAGCCATGGAGAAAGGGACATCTCCTTTTATTTCAGTTACTGTGACCCCAGGACTGCGTTAAGGGCTGCGTTAAGGACTTTGCTTCATTAGCCTGCTCCAGAAAGCAGAGAGGGAGTCTGTTGAGGGAGTCTGTTGGCACTTGATAAATGTTATAATCTGCATGACTGCAAATGACTCAACATTTGCTCAGTGTTTTGAAGGACTAGGGGGTCTTGGCAGCTGTCCATACTGATGTTTTCTGGAGATTGACTATTGGCAGCTGAAGGTGCCCCAGGGTTTCTGGGTGGCCTGGGTCCTGCCTTTGGAGTGAGTGAGCTTAGGGCCATAGGCGGGACTCCAGAGCCCTGCCTCCCGCCTTCTCCTGCCGCCTGCTCCCTGCCTACTCCTAGTGGGTCAGCAGAAGCCGGGGTGTGCACCCTGTGGACGGTGGATGGTGAGTGCCTGGTTCCCAGGTTTGAAAGGTTGGGGATAAGGGACCATATGTGGGTGAGGGGAGGTGCCTTGTGAAGCTCTGGGCATCGGGGAAGAAATACTCTGAACTTGAGACGGGAGAGGGGGTGGAGGTAGAGTTAATGATCAGGAACCCAGAATGCACAGGCTCCAAAGTGAGCTGTTCCTCATAGAATCTTGCATGTCACTGGGTGCTTTAGAAGCTTTGCCATTCACCTTATCCAACCCCCTCATTTTGGAGTTGAGGAAAAGGAGATTAGGGGAGGGATCAAGCCAGCAGGGCCTCAGGAACCCAGCTGTGTCTCCTACTCCCACGCTCATCCCAGCCCAGCGCTGCCACTCCGAGCCACCCCAGCTGTTGTTGTCATCTTATCAGGCTTCACCTTCTCCTATGGGAGAGCCCGGATCAGATAAGTCCCACAGTGGGGAACCGAATACTGTGGTGGTGTCAGGTGGGGGCCGGCTCTTCTGTAAACAGCCTCACTATTATCTTTCAGAGAAGCACTGACTCTTTCCTTAACAGAAGGGGGATAGAGAGGGGAGGAAAGAGAAGAGACATCTGTCACATGGTGAATTTCCTTTCAACATGTGGTTTGACTGTATGTGATGAATGAAAAAATAAGTTGATCTTTTAAAATTCTAGGACAAAAGACACCAGGCCCCTGACCTCCAGAAACCCCACCAGTGAACGCTTTGAGAGGCCTGGGTAGTAGAAAGATTTGGGGTCTTAGTGGTCTGGATCCAGGAGACAGTACTGCTGCCTGCTAGCTCTGTGACTGGAAGAAGGTACTGAACTTCTCTAAACTTGAGTGTTGTCAGCTGCATAACGGGAGACTATGTGCATCATAAGACTGTAGAGAGAGTGAAATTAAGGCGCTTATTTTGGGTGGTACTAAGTGCTGCTTTACCAGCCACCCTCTCTCTCCAGTTAGTAGCCATGTTAGGTTAGGTTCTCTCCAGTTAGGTTCATGTGATTAGTCATTGTTCCATGCAGATATTAAGCTTCCCTCTACCTCCAGGCTTTTTTTTGTGAGTGGAAATAGCTGTGGTTCAGGTTTCAGAGCCAGAGAGTTGCATGGCACATGCTCCAAGGCCTGTTGGGTTGGGAATTGTTTTGCAACTTAGGGGAGCTTGGCTGGGAGGTGGATCTATACACTCTATAGGTAGAAGTCAATTTTCACTACTTTCCTCTGGCAGAAGGCCAGCTGCTAGAGGCCCATTGGGAGCATCTGTTCATGGAGAGGCCCGCCTCTCCCCTCTGGTGCTGATAACACTCTCATATCTTAGTGCTTTGGGGCCTGAGGTTGAGGACGGAGCTCTCCAAAGGGGTGACTCTGTGCTCATGCTTTCCAGATCATAGCTAGAGGTGCAGATGGGGTGCTGAACAAAGCTCCTGGGAGTTTTGAAGCCCATATCTTGTGTTCCAGCTCATGAACTTGAGGTAGGGAGTCAGGGGCCTGTAGGACATTCACACCCAGCCAGTCTGCTGTTTCCCAGGCTTATTGAGTCCCAGCCTAGCCTAGTTCTTCCATCCTGCTCTCTGAGTCTCTCCAAAGCCACTTCCTTCTAGGTGCATCTATGGCTACCTAGATCAGATAGAAGCGTTTTCATGCCTGCACTGCCCTAGCCCAGTGTTGATACCTTGCCTGAGGTGTTGTCTCTCACCTTCTTTTTTTTTCCCCTCACCTTTCCACTCTGTTACCGGCATACTAGGCCTGTAGCTCCTAGAGGACTGTTTATCATTTAGTTAAAATTCCCAAATTGCCATTTATTAAACAGATCAGTGCTGAATAAATGTTTGGAAATAAATGTTGAGTCTGTTTGAACCTGATTCCCTTGTACTCAGGAGCAAATAGGCTCAATGATGATTAATGGGCAGTGGAGAGATGGAGCCTATTTGTCTCCAGGAACAGCAGTGGTGTGTTAGAAGGATGCAGAGCTCACCGTGAGGGTCCCCGGACTTCCTAGAATGAAATGATCTGTCCCAGGAGTTGAAGCGAGTCCTTTGGAAGGGTAGGTGTAAGCTGGCCTTTGTGAACCGATGCAGAAATGGTATCAAATCTGTGATCAGAGACCGTACCATGTGGATCTGAATAGTACACACTTATCAGTAGTCCAAGGAGGCTTTGGAAATGCGTCAAGTTACAGAAATTGTACCACGCTCTGGAGAATCTCCTGTTTATAGCAGGCAGGTAAGAGCTGTGGTTTTCCCCCTGATTGTACTATGAACCGTAATCCAGTAATGTATAACTTTGCCATGTAAAAAAAAAAAATTGAAAGTCAGCCTGTGGAATGTTCTTTCCTGCTTGTCCCAAGTGCTTTGGTCATCCATAAATCACCATTTCCATCACTCAATCTTGTCAAATTCATTTCAGCACACGTTTATGAAAAACCCACTGTGGACCACAAACAATCCCTGTGCTGGCCACTGGGAATTCAGAGATAAATTGAGGAACAGAGTCAAAAGAGAGACAGCTTGAAAACAGGTCCAAATGAGTGTGTTGAACACAAAAGAAGGACCATGGTGCAATGTGGATGCGGGTTAGGGAGAATAATCCCCTCTAGAGGGAAAGTGGGGGTAAGCGGAGCATCCAGGAAGACCTCTGGAAGAGGTATTTGAGTCTTAAAAGAACAGAATGAATGAGGCAGGACATGCTGGGCAGAGACGTGGAGACATGTCCTGGCTTTTGACTCTCATTGTCACTGTGGCTGCCCTCCCACAGTGAGCTGAGGGAATAGAAGCTGGCCCTTGAGGAAGGCCCAGCTCTCCAAGACCAGCCTGCCTTCATAGCTGCACTTTGTTCTGTGGCTTATGTCCAGCCAAGCACAAAACCTGAATTCTTTGTTCTAAGACAATGCATCTCACACTCCAGTGTGCCTGTGAATTGCCTGCCATATCTGATGAAGATGCAGGTTATGATTCCTTAGTTCTGAGGTAAGACTGGAAATTCTTCAGTTCTCCCTGATGCCAATGCTGCCAGCCCATAAGAGCACATTTTGAGGTTATATGATATGCTTCTCTCCCAGCTCACTCAGTCCCTCCACCAACAAACACACACACACACCCTCCCCTTCTTTTTCCTCTTTCCTCTGGTACAGATGCCAGATTCCTCTTTCTTAAAGGCTATTTTCATTGGTTATTCCCAGTTCACACCCCACACCCACTGCCTGGAAGTCCTCTTTTATGTCTGAACTCAAGTCTGAACTTTGCAGGCTGGTCTAAACACTAATCTGGCCTACCCATTTCTGCCCAAAGCCCTCGTTATTCCCAACCTCACCTCTTGGCAGTGGATCCCTCCCAGCCCCCTCCTTTGGCTGTGACATGTGAATTTCTGGGCCTTTGCTTAAACCTTTGGAGAAATCCTCTCCTGAGTAGAGTCTTACAAGGGGGGAGTCAAGTCTTTGGTCAGGTGGGCCACAGTGTCACAGACACAGAGATACACACCTCAAGAGGGTACCCAGTGATCCTAGCAGATAAAGTCATGCTAGTACTTCGGGAGGAAGGCTCCTATAAGTCAGATCCTGGGATGGCTAGTGGGCCAAATGGAAAGACAGATACTGTAAGTGGTTGTCCGGAAAAGAAGGCTGGATAGGGTATCTGCCACTCTTACAGACGTGGGTTGCTTCGAGGAGCTTGCACCCAGAAGCACAAGGCTTCCCAACTAGAGGAAGTCCTAGTGCAGCCCCTGAGCATGAGCTGAGGATGAGGCTAGATTCCATAGGACCTACCTGCACCTCCATTTCAACCGCCGAGCCCCCTGCCTGGCGCAGACATCTGTTGCCCAGCCCTCTGGAACAGTCCCCCCCAGCACCATGCTCTTTTCTTATACGATGCTTACTCTCTCAGACTCTGACCCCGTTCCTTCAGCAGACATCTGTGTAGTTCTGTTCACAGGGGGAAGTGTCAGATTAATAGTAGCCATCTCTATTAAACTATATAGTAAGTGGTAGATGTTTAGAGAACATTTGGTTTGTTGTCAACTATGGTTTTATGTAATGCTCCTTTTTTGTTATTTGCTTGTTTTTACTTCGAGCCTGTTTTATTTGTATAATGAGCAGAAAATAAAGGTCTTCTCAGTTGGGAGAATGTACTCAGATTGCCTGTCTGCCTTGAGTGAGGCCCTGTTGGGGGCTGGATGAAATAGGAGGACTGGTCTCTCTGTGTCTGAGGGGTTCACAGCGAGGATGAAGTATAGGGTAACAACAAGGGGACTGGCACTCTAAGTAATCTAATTACACAAGAAGCTGCTCCCTCGCCAGGGAGTGGGAGCTGTGACTCCTGGACTGAAGGCATTGACAGGCATTGATGAGGAGGGAGGGAAGTGCTGGGGGATGCAGCCTGGAGGAACACCATCAGACCAGGAGGTGACAGCTTTGGGCATGGGCGAGGGAGCAGCAAGAGAGGCTGTCACTTTCTTGTCTGGCTCCTGACCTGGAAGTGAGCTCCCTGGGGCAGGAGCCTCCACGTGTCTGTCATAACCCCCCAGGCCCCCATGGTGGCAGATCCTTTGATAGCAGCCCTTGTCCAGTCCCATCTCTGATGCTGCAGCTCCCCCTGCCTTGGCCTCTGGCACCCTGATTAGCTGCCCAGCCGGAGCCCTGTCCTGGAGATCAGATTACAGCTGTCCTGTGGGAGCAGTAACATCTTCTTCCTTCCTCTCAATCCCTAGAAATGTCTTTCCTCCAGGATCCCAGTTTCTTCAGCATGGGAATGTGGTCCATTGGTGCGGGGGCCATTGGAGCCGCTGCCTTGGCACTGCTCCTGGCCAACACAGACATGTTTCTGGCCAAGCCCCATAAAGCAGCATTGGAGTATCTGGAAGACATAGACCTGAAAACACTGGAGAAGGGTAAGTGGTGACCCCACCAGCGTCAGTACTTTTCCAGGGCACTGAGATGCAGGCCTACTTATTTTTTTTCTCTCTAAAGTAGTTCCTTCTTTTTATTTTCACTGAGAAGGCAGTGTAACATTAGGAAAAATTTAATAATACTTTTAAAATTACTGATAATTTAAATCTTAAATTACCATTACCCTAACACAATAATCTTTTTTATTTTTGCACATTCTTTTCCAGGTGTACATGTTGTAATATGTAGTTATGATCTTGGTGTACATGATTTCTTTTACAATTTAGCTTTTTCTTATCAAAAGCATTGTTCATTTTCTCATGTTGTCTCTAAATGTAATAATTGTTCCATAATATTTAGTAACACTGCACCATGGTCAACTCAACCAAACCTTCCAGAGTATGTTCTGAGGAATTCAAGGCGCCTGGGGCTTCCCAGGTGGTGCTAGTAGTAAAGAATCCACCTGTTAATGCAGGAGAAGTGAGACGTGGGTTTGATCCCTGGGTTGGGAAGATCCCTTGGAGGAGGGCATGACAGCCCACTCTAGCATTCTTGCCTGGAGAATCCCATGGACAGAGAAGCCTGGTGGGCTACAGTCCATAGGGTTGCAAAGAGTCAGACACGACTGAAGTGACTTAGCATGCTCACAGGCATGGATGGATCTTCGAAAACAGGAGCTCCTGAGTCCAATAAGTTTGAAAAATGAAAAAAAAGAAAGAAAAATATTGTGTGTCCAGTTCCATGTTCCTGATGCGAGCTCAGGGCTTTGCTTGCTGAAATGAGGTGTCTGGATTGTCACAGGTACAGATGTGGGCAGCCTCGCCTGTGGCACCCGGGAAAGCACAGTCACATTTTAAAATAGACCCGCCTGTCTCCTTCTTCTTGGGGAGCCCACTGGAGTCCCTGCTGGATGTCTGAGAGCCACACGTGATGATTCGGCTGCCTTCCCGTGCTCTTGGCTTGGACCCAAAGTTCAGGGGGTTTCAGTCATGCCCATAGTGTGGGTTCAGTGGGCATGAGAGTTAGGTGCAAGTGACTGGGTTTTCTTCGGGTTGACCCCTCAAAGGGAGACCATTGATTCTGTTCAGTAAGTGAGGAAGCTTGTGAAGGGAAGGCAGGAACTGTGATTGCAGATTTATGATGTAGGTCCCCTTGGTAAAGGACTAAGAAGCCCTGCAGACGGAGAGCTCTGTTTCACTATATTCAACCCTGAATATCCCTGTATGATTTGGTTTCAACCCTCTCCCACCTTTATTTTCCTATGTAACATTTCACAGGCACATGGATTCCTCACTGAAACAATAAGGGATAGTGCTTACTCAGCCCTCACTGACTCTATTATGAGATGCTGCAGTGAGCTCTTTTATATCCATGTTTTAATACTCCCTGTGGCGCAAAGTGGAGCTGCTAGGCATCTGCATTTACAGATAGGGAAAGGAAGGTTCAAAGAGGAGACAGAGCCTGCCTGGGCTCACACCTAGATGTGACTGACTCAATTTGACCAGAGCCGGGCTTGAGCTGTACCACTCTGCTACCCAAAGCATCTCCTTTTTGGGCATTTTCTGCCCTCTCCTGTGGATAACACTGGAGTTAACATATTGAGGTTAAATTAAAAAAAAAAAAAATTTCAGTTGATTTAATTTCTTCAAATACTTCCTTCAGAGTTGGGATTTTCTTGGCCAAGTGCAAGATCTTATTCAAGTTTTAGCCATATATTATCCCTAAAGAATTGTTACAAGGTCCACTGAGACCAGCAAAGGAATACACTACTTCTCCAGAAATATTCCAGTTTGGGATATTCAAGTTCACAACTAGATTTTTATGGGGGAGGGGGCTTCTGGTTAGGGAGTAGGACTCTTACACTAGATTCATTTTCCTCCAAAAGATGAATATTGCCTGTCTGTGTTTCCTGTTTGATTTTTTTCTCAACGTGTGAAGTACTTTTCCAGGTCCTCTATTAGGCCTGTTGCTGTTTATGAGGTGCTTAGAGGTTGGGGGCAGGCGAGAGGAAATGATACTGAATTCTCTTCTCTTCAGATGCAGTAACTTTTAAAGCGAAGGCACTTTGGGAGAAGAATGGAGCTGTGATTATGGCTGTGCGGAGGCCAGGCTGCTTCCTCTGTCGGGAGGTGAGTGCATTTGAGGACCTGTTCGTAGGAAGGGATCCTAGCAAGTGGGGACCAGGGCATTTCCAGCCAGGATCAACACTGGCCCAGTCTGTTATTTATTCCAGGTTTTTTTTTTTTTTTGGTCTAATTCTGTTTCTCTTCATGTAAGAGCTCACCTTATCCGAGGGTTAGCACCATACTTGACTTTCCTTTGGTAATCCCAAGGCCTGTCAGTCTTGTACTCTGTCCTGTACCAGCTCCAGTTCCTGTGTTCCTGATGCTCAGCGCAGGGCTTTGCTTACTGAAATGAGCTGTCTGGATTGTCACTGGTACAGATGTGGGCAGCCTCACCTATGGTGCAGCTTTGGCACCCAGGGAAGCATGGCCACACTTTTAGATTAGACCCACTGTCTCCTTGGGGAGCCGCTGTCATTCCTGCTCGATGGCTGAGGGCTGGAGGTGGTGACTTCACTGCCTCCCTCAGCCTTGGATCCAAAACTCGGGGATTTCAGTCTTACTGATCATGTGAGTACAGTGGGCATGAGAGCCTGTTCTCCTGCATTCGGTGCATGTGTCTTTGCTACACTCTGGGCATGTAGGAGACGGTGTTGGCTGGCCCACACCGTCCCAGGAGTTCGTGCCCCTGACCTTTCCATTTTTCTGCAGGAGGCTGCAGATTTGTCCTCCCTGAGGTCCAGGTTGGACGAGCTGGGCGTCCCCCTCTATGCAGTGGTAAAGGAGCACATCAAGAATGAAGTTAAGGACTTCCAGCCTTATTTCAAAGGAGAAATCTTCTTGGATGAAGAGGTATGTGTGATGTGAGCCAGTCAGACAGACTGCTGGGGATGGTGCTCGTGCATGAGGAGTTTGGTGGCTCCAAGCCTGTCTGGCCAGGAGCTTAAGTTGGCCTCCATTTCAGCTGCTCCTAGCCCTCTGAGCAGAGCACGAGTGAAAAAAAAAAACTTAAAAACTGTCCTTCAGATTTTACTTGAGCCCTTCCTGACTTGTGACCTGGGAATGGGAGCCTTGAAAATAGCTAAAAGCTCCACTGGGTCCCCCACCCTGAAGAGGGGTGCCCAGCACCATCCCCTGTCCCGTAATTCACTGTGGCCCTTATTCTTTCCCCTACACCCCTCTCTGCAGAGTGTAGGACTGTTATCTCTTGGTCGGGCCCAAGAAGCCTGTACATCTGTAGCAAGAGATTAGAGTCAGAGTTGCAAGCTGCAGGGTTCTGTTTGGTCCTGGGCAGTTTAGAGCACTCTTGGGTGGGAGCAGTGTGTGTGTCAGGTGGAGGATGTGAACCAGCAGAAGGCAGGAAGGCAGGCATACAGGCTACTCACATGGGGTCTGTCCTCCTCAATCCTGCAGAAAAAGTTCTATGGCCCACAGAGACGGAAGATGGTGTTCATGGGATTTGTCCGTCTGGGCGTCTGGCGAAACTTCTTCCGGGCCTGGAATGGAGGCTTTTCTGGAAACCTTGAAGGCGAGGGCTTCATCCTTGGAGGTGTCTTTGTGATGGGACCAGGAAAGCAGGTAAATTCCTAGCATTCACTTGGGAGTCTGTGAGCACAAGACACCGATCTATCGGTGGGAGGGTGATTTTCCCTAATCAGAGTCTCCCAGCCTTCCTTCCAGAAAGCCAGGGAGCATGAGGACGGGGAAGGGAGGGAAATAGTCCTGTATTGCCCTCCTGCTCTCTCGGCACCTCACATAGGAGCCCCCTCCCCCGTCACAGTAACATCACAACATAGTCTGAACCTTGCAGGTGAGTAACTTGTGAGGGGGGGTGAGTGAACGCAAGCGCACCAACAAGGACAGCTCCTCAGTGGCACTGTGGGGGCCTGGACCCAGGTTTTCTGATGTCGAGTTCTGTTTTCCACGTTAGAACAAAAGCATAATCTTTATTCTGTGAAAAATTTACTCCTTTGCAGTGTTCCCTGTCATTTAGGATGAATAGTAAAGTGACGAGAGAAGGAATGGAAACAGACCTCATTGGGGGAGCAGTTGGGAGCTGTGGTGGGAGGGATGCTTTCCACATGGGGTCCTGGTGGCAGGGCACACTTCTCTGTAAACTCTGGCTTGGGTCCCGCCGTGGGGATCCAAAACAGGGGCCTAGGAGAAGGTGTAGAGAGATGAGGACTCTGTGGGCCAAAGAGGTGGTGGGTAGATGTCCATGTCAGACTCAGGGCAGTGCCAGCAGAGGCTGAGTAGGTGCAGAGCCAGGACAGGGTTCAGTGGGTGCCAACTCGAGGCCTGGCAGGAGGACCCAGAGACTCAAGGTCTGACTTCTAAACTTCTAGGCCTGTCTCGCCAGCTTTAGGCATGACATTAATACTTGGGCTTATCTGTAAAAAAAAGACAGGGTTGGAACTCCCTGGCAGTCCAGTGGTTAGGAATCAGCATTTCCACTGCAGGGGGAACAGGTTCAATCCCTAGTTGGGGAACTTAAGATCCTGCAAGCCTCGTGGCACAGCCAAAAAGACAGGGTTGGTCTTCATGGTGGAGATCCCTACTGACATTGCTAACTGCATACTTTTACCAGGTAGGGAGAAATAAGCTAGTGGGAACAGAAAGCCTTCAATTTAAAAAAAACAAAACTTTTTATTTTGTATTGGGGTGTAGCCGATTAACAAAGTAGTACAGTTGCTCAATCGTATCTGACTCTTTGTGACCACATGGACTCCAGCACACCAGGCCTCTCTGTCCTTCACCATTTCCCAGAGCTTGCTTAAACCATGGCCATTGAGTTGGTAATGCTGTCCAACCATCTCATCCCCTGTCGTCCCCTTCTCCTCCTGCCTTCTATCTTTCCCAGCATCAGGGTGTTTTCCAATGAGTGGGCTCTTCGGATCAGGTGTCCAAAGTATTGGAGCTTCAGCTTCAGCATCAGTCCTTCCAATGAATATTCAGGATTGATTCCCTTTAGGATTGACTGGTTTGATCTCCTCGTGTTCCGAGGGATTCTCAAGAGTCTTCAACACCACAGTTCAAAAGCATGAACAAACAGTGTTGTGATATTAATAGTTTCAGGTGAACAGCAAAAGGATCCAGCCATACATACACATATATACATTATCCTCCAAACTCCCCTTCCATCCAGGCTACCACAGAACATTGAGCAGAGTTCCATATGCTGTACAGTAGGTCCTTGTTGGTTATCCATTTAAAATATATCAGTGTGTACATGTTGATCCCAAACTCCCTAATTATCCCTTCTGCCCATCCCCCCACCTGCACAACCGTAAGTTCATTCTCTAAGTCTGTGAGTCTCTTTCTGTTTGGTAAGTTCCTTTGTATCGTTTCTTTTTAAATTCCACATAAGGGATATCAGACAATATTTCTCCAGGAAGCATTCTCTTTTAAGCTGTATTTCACGTCTTTTTCTTTTAAACCTTGGTATCTGCAATTGCTTATCTGAGAATCTAGCATGATCTAGTGTCTGGTATAACATAAACCTATTTGCTAACTTTCCGGTAAACGTATCAGTGTGTCTTAGTGACCGGGACTGCCATTGAGTGCCTACCTTGTGCCAGGTGCTCATCTACATGATCTCGTCTTCTCTGCAGTCAGTCTGGGGTAGTCGGTGTTTTTGTTCTCATCTACATCTAAGAGAATGGGCCTATGAAATAACTCAGCCAAAGATACACAGCTAGTATGTGGTACAGAGGAAATGAATCTCTCCTGCTGCAGAGACGCCACCCTTCCCTTGCCCATAGCTCCTCCTTGCAGATGGTTCCCAAAGATCCCTTCCGGTACCCTTGCACTTGGGCAGGCCACTTCCTTAGGATCCTTCAGCCTCTCCCCACTCTGGACTCCTAGGATTCCTTCTCTTCCTATCTCTGCCTCTCAGCCCCCAGGGCAGGGCCCGGCTCCCCTGCCAGCCTCCTCTTGCCTGGCAGTGACTCAGCTGGTGCTCACAGGCTCCCTAAGCCTGGCTGGCTCTCTCTGATGTTGCTAGGTGTGTTGTTTGACTTTATTGATGCCCTTGGAGCTCCTGCCTTCTTCCTTCCTGGTGGAAGGTTGACCAGGCTGGCCCAGCTTCAGGACTCACCTCCATGTTTCTTGAGAGCAGAGTTTTTGCAGTTCCACTGTGCCAAGTTCCACTCAGTAGGGATTTTCTCTGTAATAATCTTTAAAGCGTACTTACTTTTAAAATAATGTGTTTTCAACATAGGAAATCTGAAAATGGAGAAGATGGGGACAGCTCAGTTACCAGGGTCAACTTGTTAGAACAAAGCTGAGCTGAGGGGCCTTTTATTTTTTTTTAGAAAATGATATCTTTCTAAGTTAGATGTTCTTTTTTAACTTAACAGTATATCGTGAACAAACATTTCCTCATGTCATCATATGTTCTTCCTCAGTGTTTCTAATATCTGCAAACTGCTCTGATGAGCAAGTAAATATAATTTAATTTCCTGATCTCCTTCCCAGTAGTGGAAGGACATCACCCTTCCCACAGGGTGGTGGTACTTTTTTTTTTTAAGTCTTTATGAATAATGGTACAAAGAACATGTAAAACTGTAAGTGTTTACTTTTCAGATTCAATCTGACTTTAATTTATTAGTGTCAGAGAACTCTCTAACAAGGATTCCTTGATGCTGATCTCAGCATATTGTTTTATTTTTTTACCACTTTAGGGTACTTTAGGGCATACTATGTCTTAGTGCATTACGCCTCACTAAATGCACTAAGACTCGTAAGTACACTGAAGAGCGGGTCACCCTTTTGAGGTCGTCACTGAGAGCCCATCAAGGTCTGACCTTGGAGTTCCACTTCCATACCATCAGGCTTGCCCAGAGGCAAGCTCATTCTGTTCTCTTCTGCCTGGAATGTCCTTTTACCTGCACCTCTCCCTTCACCGTCCACGTTGTAGTGTCTGTGAAGCCTTCCTTGATCGCCCTGTTACATTAATCACTCCTGACATCCTGCTGCCAAAGTGCTGCATGTACAGTCCAGATTATTTCTAGGGAGCCTTCCTGATCCACCTTCCCCCAAAGACTGCACTTCTTAAGGGCAGAGCCCAGCCTGATTTGGATCTCTGTTCCTTGCTGCCCCAAGCATAGGGCTTAATGGACAGCTGGCGCTCAGGAGTCTATCTCATGAGTTTCTCAGAGTAAGGACCGATGTACCCTCTTGTTTCCTTTTAGGGCATTCTTCTCGAGCACCGAGAAAAGGAATTTGGAGACAAAGTAAACCTGACTTCTGTTCTGGAAGCTGCTAGGAAGATCAGACCACAGACTTCAGCCTCAGAGGAAAAATGATTGTGTGAAGCTGCCCAGCTCAGGGATAACAAGGGCTCTCACCTGTGTTTGCAGGATGTGTTGTGGGTCAGCTGCTGTCCCTAAGGCATTATAAACCCATCTATTATGCCACATTCTCAGTATAGACCATTAACATATTTTAATATTGTACTCTGTATAGGTCTAATAAGGCAAAATAAGGTCTAATAAGCCCCCAAACAAGACTGATAAAAATCTAAGATGCTAATAAGGCTTATTTCAGCTAAAACCTGGAAAATCTGAGGCTTAAAGTTGATTGTTACACTTCATCACAAATGTACATGGTGTTTGAGTGCTATTATTTGAAATTATTTTTATTTTCATGTCTTTAAAAATCTTAGAAAAGTTGATGATTGACTTGAAGATTAAAGATACAAGGTTTTTGGCTCATGTTTTCACAGTAGTAATGATTTATTTTATAATGTTAAAGTAATACATAAAAGAATTCATGTGCTTTGGATGACTTGATAAAGGTAAATAATAAAGTGAAATCTATTTTCTCATTGTCTTCCATTCTAATCTTGGAGATTTGATTTTCTAGAAGAAACAATCTTCTAGAAAGCATGGTTCTGGTTCTAATAAAATTAAGCATCAAAAATTGTCCATATATACACATTTCTGATAAAACTAACAATAAAAATATTTACCATAATAATGGCTGAATTTATTAAATCATTTGTGCCAAAGACACTGAATGTGAAAAATCAGTACTCTGCATGTGTATGGAGTATGGTTGGTAAAGGAGTTCCTCTCGTTCTAATGATCTAAGAGGTTTCCAGATGACCAGAAAAGTTCACCCTGTCGTTCATGTGAGTGATTTTGCTGTCTTCTCTAGAGAAATGAATTGGCATTTAAAATTGGTAGTTGCTTTCTTATTGATGCTCTTTTAGCCCAATTCAGTAACTGAAGGGAAAAAAGGACAGAGAAGATGAAATGTAACTTAATTCATTAGTTTGTTATGTTTGAAATGTTGTGTGAGTAAATATGATGTCCACAAGAGCCTGAAGGGGACTCTGCCCTAGGGAGTCTGCTCAGGGCACCAAACCAGCCCAGGAGTAGGAAGGCAGGGACCGGAGTTCAGAGAAGAGGAGTACAGTGGTCCCCCTCTACATGTATATATTCCAAGAACCCCTCTGGATGCCTGAAAACATGGAAGACACTGAACCCTATGTATATTGTGTTTTTTCCTATACATGCATACCTATTATAAAGTATAAATTAGACAAGAGATTAAAAACAATAATAAAATGGAAAAATTATAACATTATACTGTGATAAAAGTTATGTGGCTGTGGTCTCAAAATATCTTAATGTACTATACTTATCCTCCTTGTGATGTTGGAGATGGTATGTGCTGAGATGAAGTGAGGTGAATGATATAGGCATTGTAGGGTTAGGTGACCGCTGACCTGACAGAAAGAAGGAGGATCGTCTATCTGCTTCAGGTGATCCTGGATCACTGAGCCACGACAGTGTTGGGGTTTGGATGCCAGAAGCAGATGATGTTGATGGTCGTGGATCCCATGCAGGACAGCGGGGCAGCACAAGATTTCATCATGCTACTCAGAATGGTGTGCTATTTAAACCTTCTTAATTTTTTTTTTCTGGAATTTTCCATATAATATTTTCAGAGGGCAGTTCACTTCAGGCAGCTGAAAGGGTGGAAAGCAAAACCATGGATAAGGGGGAACTACTGAATTTACCCAAGGGGCCAAACTGGCCAAGAGGAAGGGAGTTTGTGCTTATACGGGAAAGCAAGAAATGAAGATGGAGGGTGGACATAAAGCTGGGAAGGTAGGCATGTTGGCACTGAGCGTACAGTGAGAAGGGGTGGCCAGTTCTGTACTAAGACCAGGACTGGGTCTGACTTCATGTGGTGGCTGTATGGTGTGTGCACTAGCCCATGAGGTGCTGGGCTTCTTGGAGGCAGCGCTCCTCAGTACTTGAAGAGGGTCAACACAGTGACTCACCCCTATTAGCTGTGATCCCTGGGACTCCAGCTAATGATAGGATTTTCCAGATGAGAATTCTTTGGTGCCTAGAAGACACTGGATTCTGAAACAGTACTCCTACAACCAAAGAAAAGCAGAGCCTGCAAGATGTCGCTGAAATGGATGCTTGGAGAGGAACCTTACTGTGATCTTCATCAGCTGTTTCACTCCTGGGTCCTCACATGCATTGTGCCTTCTCTCCCCAATCAGCATGGCATTATGGAAAGAGCACTGGACTGAGTTATGAGGTGAGCTCAAGTTCTACTTTAACTTAGTGTGACTTTAAGCAAAGCTCTGACATTCATCTCTTAATCACAGAATGGGCATAATAATTACTATCTGTCATTGAGGGCTGTATATTAGAAGTCATTGAGGGAATGATAAATACGAAATGGTACTTCTCCAACTTTTGTATACATGCAAATCACCTAAAGATCTTGTTAAATGAAGATGCTTAGAGAAAAGCCAAACAGTAGTTAAAGACAGTGTAGATGGAGTTTACTTGGTAACCCCCACAATTAGGGCAGAGGCTTCAGTACAGAACTGAATTCAGCCAGGCTGTGCACAAAGGTGACTGGAATTTTAAAGGGAAGATGAAGGAGTGGGAGGGGAGATGAGCCGGGATTTGAACAAAGTCAAAGTGGTGGAAAATTACAAACGGCAGGTGGGGGTACTGATCACTGTGATCAGGCTGTCTCTGCTAACTGGCTTGTTCAGCAGGTTAGGTTTCCATCCTTCCACAGAGACTGGAAGATGCAGCCCTATCTGTCTTGCTGAGGACATTTCAGAGGGATGCTCCCAGGTCCTTAGGAAAATACTCCTGGGTTTCAGGAGATAACATACACATCTTAAAGGGACAGAGACAGCATTTACAGTTGTGAGGGTTTTTTTTCTTTTTTTCTTTTTTTTAAAGTAAATGCTCTAAGAAAAGGGAGGTCAAAAAAAGCAAAAGGAAGAAAATGGAGTCTGTTTGCTGTCCACCTGAAAACATCACAATGTTGTTAATCATCTATAACCCAACATAAAATGAAAAGTTTAAAAAAATAAAATATACATCAACTGAAAAAAGAAAATGTAGGTCAGAGGCCTACGGTCAGGGGTTTGGCTGAAGCAATGGGTAAATTCTTTTGACAGCCTTGAGCTTCCCCAGGCAAGGACTCAGGGGGCTGGGTCTCCCCAAGAAACAACCTTGAGTGATAAAAACTATGCTAGGGAACATAGTTTTGTTCAGGTCTCCTAATATGGGGACTGGACAAAATAATTTGTACTGAAAGTTTCATAGTTCTCAAGATTGGGGGGGTGGAGCTTGAGTTTTCACACCTCTAACAAGCTCTTGGTGATGTTGATGTTCTACTGACCCATGGACCACATTTTGAGAAACAAGAATCTAAAGGACCCTACAGATCAAACTGTTAATATTTGTGCATTTCGGGCTTGAAGCTTCAGCAGCCTTTGACAAGCAGTAGCATGTTCCCTTTTCTTTATTTTATAAACTAATCAAGAATCCATAATAATTTAAACTACCAGCAAAGAGAGAGATTCCTAGCAGGAAAGCTGACGGTTCTCTAAATGTTTGCATGATAGAATTGCCTGAGGAGGTTGGAAAGATTCTGATGCCCTGGCCACACACCCAGGCCCATTAAATCAGAATCTCGGGGTGAGACAGACAAAACATTTCTGAAAGCTCCTGGATTACTCCAATATGCAACCAAGAATCATCTTCAAAGAATTTAGCATCAAGTCTAGAAGGCCAGTGCTCACACCTTAAAAGAGAATTTACCCAGAACCAGGCTGCCCCTGGTAGTCTCTGATGATTTTTGTAAAATAGTTTTTGGATGGCAAGGGTCAGGGATGGCATGGACATGGATGTAGTGGAAGCCTGGGCTGGAACTGAAACTTTAGGGTGGAG